GCAAGCTTTGTTTAGAAAATTACAAAGCCCGCAAGGTTCATTTAGACTGGGCCGGCCATATCAACTTCGTACTCAGTCCGACTACAACGTCCTTGGGTCAATTTTGGGATTAAGATCGGCCGGACGTTTTGTGATTTCCGATTAACACCTACTCGTGTGGATATGATCCCAATTTTGGGCATAGGTCTACAGGTCATGGTCTAGGTCCCTTAAAATAGACTTAAGAAAGGGATTCTTTTTTATTATAGTTTAGTGTAATATATTAGGTTTGTTATAAGTTTAAAAAAAAAAAAATTAAAGAAGACCCAAAGTAACTTAAAATAAATTGACCCATTAAAAAATTGAAGACCCATTCAAAAAAGTTAGCATTGTTATCCATTGAAAATAGACCCAAAAAATAGGTCCTCCTATTGTAGTTTAGTATAATATATTAAGTATATTTTAAGTTCAAAAATAATCAAGGAATGCCCAAACTAATTTAAAATAAATTGACCCATTAATAATTGAAAAACCCATTTAAAATAATTAACATTGCTAATCCATTGAAAATGGTTTTGCAAAAAAAATTAGATTATGGAAGTATGATTAATTTATTTGCTTCTAAAAATGAAAGAAGAGTGAGGATCAAACGAAACTTATTAGTTGTTGTAATGTAATGCTAAATATTTTTTTTTTGTGATTTTGACACAAATTTTTTGTTCTTTACCTTCAATTTTTTTTTTTAATTCAATAAAAAAAATTGAAAAGCTCCAAAATTTTTTTAGTTAATTATTAAGTTTAGGCTCCGAAAACTCAGGCTGGGCCTGGATAAAAATATATATGATAGACATCCTTTAAGAGCCTGTATCACAACATTGACCATATATTTTTTGTTTTTGTCTTAACTGATGGACTCTCAATCTCGTCCTAAACTGTACGTAGGTCAGTCTTCCGAATTATAAACAGGATAAAGGAAACCTAGAATGGTTGCATATTCATGAATCTAGAGAATCTACGTTGGACATTTTTGGTTCATCTACACTAGAATATCTTAAAAATTTTAAAATAACTAGTAGTCGTATTAAAGAATAAATGATATTATTATATTTGAAATGTATATTTTTATTATTAATTATTCATGTGTTTACACACTATCTATATTAATTATGTTTGCTTTAATTTTATTAAAAAAATATAATTATATCAGACTTATAAAATTGATTGTATTTTTTTCAACATCAAACATAGTCAACCTAATAAGATATTTATTCATAAATCCCTCTTCATCTATTCATATTCCATTTAGTATAAATTATTTTTTTATCTTCCAATAAATCTTATGGTTAACATAGTTACCAAAATATCTCTAATAATAATAGGATAAAGCGTGCATTAATGTTCATAATGACAATGTGAATGTTCCATGATGTGAACATTCACACTGTTAAATTTATTATTCACACTGTTAAATTTATCGAAAAGTCAGTGAAACATCCCTCTCTAACTTTGTGTAGTAGGAGAGGTTCAAAAATTTTCTTTTATTAGATAAGATTCCTTAATACTTTCATAGAGAAATTTCACTCCCGGCTAAGAGAAATTTCAAAATTTCTCTAGTAATGATCATAGAGAAATTTTGAAATTTTTCTATGAAAATTGAAATTTCTTAGAGTCGGGGCGAAATTTCTCTGAGTCGAATTTTTTTTTTTGTAGAAATGTTGAGAGATCTTTACTTTTATGAAAATATTGTATGTCCTTTATTTTATAAAATCTTAATATCAGTGAACTTAAAAAAAAATCTCCCAAAAATTATTTAATGTGAATGTTCACATCATGGAACATTCAAAATAGTCTAAAATAGTGCACACTAAGTTGCTAAGTGTTTAAAAAATATTTGTTACAGTAAAATTGTTCATAAAATACCTTAAATATGAGAATTAAGATTTAGTTGATCAAATATTCAAAATAATAGAACTTATTAGAATGTAAGAATATCTTATAAACTAATTGGGATACAAGTACTTGAAATAAGATTTTTTTTAATAAATTCACCTATCGTAATTGATCCAAAAACATTTTAATTTAGGGTTGGTTTGGTCCTATGAAGGTTATCACGTGTTCCGTTTTGATATTCTAAATTATTCATTTTTGTAGGATCCTCCACGTATATTATCAATCAAAAAAATTAGGTATATTTGTATCATTTTCATGTTATCATGTTTGCTTTAAAAAAATAGATAGTCTATTTTTAAAAACACATTTATCATTTTTTCCTCTAAGATAAACATGATAAAATGAAAATATTACAATTTTCAGGTTAACTTAAATTTTTTATGGATAATATAAACAGATATATAAAATAAACAGTTTAAATTATAAAAAAGAACCATAGTGAATCTCACATGTATAAACTAAGAAATTGACAGTCATTTAATTCATAGAGAAATTCTATGTGTATACCATATGCATCCTAATTATGACATTTGTCGTGCTTGGTTATAATGAGTTGAAGAATTAGTTATAACTTGGATGTGAGGCATTGTGGCGTTAGTTATAACTCATTGTGATGTTGGTTATAACATTTTTTTAGTTATGACATCTCACAATAGAATGTTTGATAAATCAAAATTTAATACGTGTTAGACACATAATTAGGGGTGATTTTTAGGGGATGATGAATTAAGTGTTTCAAGCATTTTTCATTGGTATCTCAAAATTTATTCATTCAAATTCATTTCACTCACAAAATCATTACTCTGTTTGGTTTGGAATTTTAAAAAGTAATTTTTTCAATTTTCATTCATATTTTTGTATTTTTAGTAATTTAAAAAAATATTTTAATCAATTTTTTTAAAAAAAAATTTTAGATAAATTTAGAGGTTGTTTGGGTCACATGATCTTTCTACTTTTTTGCAAATATTTTTGTAAAAGTCAAAAAGTACATCCCAAACAACTCCTTAATTTTGATAAATTTAAAAAATATAAATTTTGTTCAAAAATATTTTAAAAATTGATTAAATTATGTAACACACAACAATATACATATAAATTATGTAGCACTTCCATTAAAGCACAACAATATACATTGATATTTCTACTGGGCTGTGGCTCACCCTTTATGGGAACATCATTTTCAGGTTCAGGCGATAAACTACCTCCAAGGACTTAGCTTGGGAGGGTTTGGCTTCTGGATTGAAGAAGACTACCTTTAGTTAATAGTTGTTATTTATTACTACATGTAAACATTCAAGCCTAGGGCTTTTCTTGTATTGAGATTAGAACTCATATTTTTGAATCCAAGTGTTGGCTTGGAAAGATGTAAGCCTGTAGGGCATTTTATTCGATGTTACATGTAATGCTTTGTTTAGTATTATTCTGATGAATGAATTAATTAATTGTCTTCTTTAATTAATGCATGGCAATGATATATATAATGGGTTATTTTTTTGAGGGCGTTACAAGATAAATTTAGAGGTTGTTTGGGTCACATGATCTTTCTACTTTTTTGCAAATATTTTTGTAAAAGTCAAAAAGTACATCCCAAACAATTCCTTAATTTTGATAAATTTAAAAAATATAAATTTTGTTCAAAAATATTTTAAAAATTGATTAAATTATGTAACACACAACAATATACATATAAATTATGTAGCACTTCCATTAAAGCACAACAATATACATTGAGCAATACTATAATCCCAGACATAAAAATTCAAAAAAATATTTAGAATTTTGCATCAATAGTTTAGATTTACTTAAGGTATGAGTCACAACACCAATTTTAAATATTAACCATAGATTTGTGTGTTTTTTTTTTGTTTTTTGTTTTTTATTTTTTATTTTTTTCTAGTTCCATTTATGGAAGCATAGAGTTACTGATATACATTATCGAACAACACTAGGCTGCTTAAAAATCTCTATTTGAAAATAACAGGATTGAGCAAGAAATCCGTATAATTCGTAATCCGATCTGGTCCAGCCTAATCCGGTAAGTTTGGATTGGTTTTTTGAATTCGTAGTTTGATTATGGATTGGAAATTTAAAAATTCGTGTGCTGTGGATTGGTTCTGGATTGAACCCCACAGTCCTGGATTGAAACTAATTCGGACCGTATATAAATAGTCTATATTTATATTATAGACCCTCCCACATAATATCATTTCTTATTTCATATAAAAGCTAAACCAGTTTTCTTATTGCTTTTGTTTGATGCTATATTTAGTTTTAATACAGTAGAGAACTCTGCTTTGTGTAATGTGTATCCAGTTTTATAGCTTTTGTTTGTTGCTTTTGTTTGTTGCTTTTGTTTATGTTTTTATGAAATTAAAATGTTATATATATATTTTTTTGTTATTTAATTATGTGAATCTGTGATCCTAAACCGATCAAATCCGTGTTCAAATGGATTGGTTTGGATTAGTTCCATAATTTAAACTGATTGGATTGGTTCTAATTTTTCAGGAACGGTAAATAACGGATTGATCTTGATTTTATACTAATTCAGACCATGTTCACCCCTAAAAAACAGTAAAAATTTGAATACAGAGAATATCGTGCCATTTAAACAGCAACAACATTAATCGAGTATTATCCTAAAACCGCAACAACATCTTCCACTTCTGATGTCCTAAAATGGTAAAAAAGTGCCACCAAAATGTACAAATCAAGATTCAGAACACTCAACCAAGCCAGAGTCTAATAATACTTATCGAGTCGACTATAGTTCAATGTGTCTTGAAACCAACTCTGCTTTCTTCCTCTTTCACTCACCTTCCCTACTAAATACACCAACTGAACACTCCCTAAACTTCCTAATCCCATCGTGACAACGTGACCGAAATAGACCCCGTAGGCTTTCTTCGTAGGCCCAACCTATTGAAAATTGACCACATTAAAAATACAGAAAACTTATCGACAAGGGCATATAATCACTGTCTTGCCTCAAATTGTTTTTTTTTTTGGAAATATACCTGGAATTCTAACGGTACCTGATTGAACAACATCACACTAATGCTGTTTTCAAGAATCCCATCAAGGGCTTAGGGCACCAATGAGTATGAATTGTGGAAGCAACAAGAGCACGCTAATTGGAATTGTCTCCTCTGGCTTGTCGATTAAACTCTGTGTCCTCACCACATTTAGCCTTCTTGTCTCAACTTTGGCAGCAGTAATGCAACTTAGAATTGAGAAAACCATTGGCACTCGCGCCTGTGACGTGCCTAGCTTAATGGCGAGTTTGCAATAGAGATTGGTGAATTCTAGTTTTCCTAGGCCTTGGAACTAAAGGAGGATTAGAATGGGAATCGAGGCAAGGCCGAGCTTGTGGTTCATGTGGTTTGCTTGCGCCATGAAGTATGTGTTGCTGATGGGAAATACGACGCCGCAGAAAATGAAAGTGATGCATAAAGGGCTCATTCATATGGTGTGTTTGGTTTCTTCTACTTCTATGACTGAGCAGAGTTTCCATCTGCTTGTCAGTTGTTCTTCTAGAGGCTTTGTTAGTAATATAATTGCAGCCTTGTCTAGGCACCTGTGTTTCAAAAACAGTATATGGAGGATGGATTAAATGACATGAAACTGTATATTGTACTTCATCTTCTGCACCACTAAAGTGACAATGAACCCATGTTTTATGGATTATAGTTGTATTTTATTATCATTTTGTTCATGATTTTAATGCACTGTTTGAAATTAATAGGACCAATTGAGTCAAATTAAAAATCAACAATACTTTAAATACAGAAAAATTACTCAAAAAATTACTTAAAATAGTGCATCTATGGATCACAATCATTCTGAGTGTAACATGCATTATACTAACCTTAAATTTACACCATCAATTTTATTTTTGGGATAAAAGTTGGAGTGCAATTTCATGGTACATAACATTTTCGATAGTCATTGGTATATAATTTGATCATATTTGTTTTCACAAAATAGATGATCATTTTTAAACTCTTACTTATCGCTCATTTCACAAGATAAATATGAGAAAATAAATATTTCAAATCAACAAAGTGAATCCTGATGGGCCCAAAATCATAAAAACTGAATCCTCCAGTCCAAAGAGAAGCCCCCATTGAAATAAATAAACTAAGGGATTTTTACTAGGAGGTCCTAATAATTGAATCTATTACACAGTAGGTCTTAAGTTTTATCTCATGCACCAAGAAATCCTGTTACATTTTTTTATCCCGGTTTTTCCCCTGCTACCAGTTGATAAAAATTTCTATTTAAATCATCCCAATTCCTATTTAAACCATCTCAAACACTTTCTAAATCTTTAATCGTTTATAATATTTATTACTCATTATTTTTTTCAATTTGTATTAATTTCTCTCTTGATCATTTTTCCAAAACTCTTATTCTTTCTCATATATATCTCTCTCTCTCTCTCTCTGTAGAAAATACCACCATTGCAGCTATGGCTATGGCCATCCACCCGCAACTACCATCGTCGTCCGTCACTAACCATTGTCACCTCCACTGGTCACCAACACCACCACCTTCGCCGGCCACTACCACAACCATTGTTCACCAACCATATCCATCGTTGCTGATCTATACTTCATCATCTCCAATCAACCGCCACTGTTTACTAACCACCTCCGTCATTGTTGATCTACACCACGCAGTCGCCGATTTGCACTCCAACGTCCTAGATTTACACTTACTTAGTTGTTTCTACAGTGAAATCAACTTCAAATGACTACAAGCAACATTGATTCTCTAGATCTCACATCCCTCTTCCTCACTCGCTCTCTATTTCTCTTTTGTTTCTCTTAAATCAAATCTGCTATATCAGTGATAAATGTATCAGTGATATAATTCTTTGAATTTTGTGTTGATTTGTGACGATGATGATGAGAATTTTTTTTTTTGATAATCTTTTAACAAACAACTAGTGAGAGATTTATCAGTGAATGTGTTTATCACTGCTAACTTTATTACTGAATATGTCTTTGAATCTTGTGTTAATTTTTGGTAATTTATCACTGAGTATGTCTTTCAATCTTATGTTGATTTGTGATTTGTGATTATGAAGACTAAATTTATCACTAAATATGACTTTTTATCCCTCTCCATTTTTTTCATTCATGTTCTTTTCTTTTTTTCTTGTTGCCAGCATGGCAGTATTGACATGGTAGAAATAAAAAATGGCCAAAAAAAATATTCTCAAAGGTCGGAAGTGGTCTTCGGTGAACGATTGAGAGAGAGAGAGAGAGAGAGAGAGAGGGCTGAATGTCAAGGATGAAATAGGAAGATGTGCTAAATTATTTTAGGTTAGGATCTTATGGGAATTAAATCAGGTTTCGAGGACCGGCTTTTAACTCCCCTATAAACTAAAACATAAAACTTAATGGGTTGAATCTTGTAATTTGAACAAGTTGAGAGATACCTTAGGCGACGAATATGAGGCTCCAAATGGAGGTAAACACCACTTATTTCATAGAGCCGATCTGCCTCATTTGGGCACTTGTGAAACATCTTGGAGGTTGCAGCCACAAGCACTGTAAACACAGTGGTCAGCGAGCTCCCCTGTGGCTTAACACAATTATACAAATGCGAACCACTCAAGAATATCAATGTCGCCACCACCGAGCATATTGCTGGTATCCCAAACGGAAGAGACCAAATCTTTATAAATGAAATCGCAATGATTCCGCCTATTGGGATGAGGATTGCGACGTTGGTTCCCAAGAAGAGAGAGAGGCACGAGTGCGTGGTGAAGTTGTCCCGGAAAACTTTTGTTAATTGCTCAACCATGAAAGTGGATAGTGAAATTTAGTGGCCTGACACTCCGATAGCTACTAGGGCTACTACCTTGTAGAAGAGTATCTTTTGTCCCTCGCCATGCATTTGGGCTCGTATAGACTGCAGGTGGCTGTGGCCTTGGCGAGGACTGGAGGTGTTGACATTGTTAGGAATCCCAAACCCTGCAAAAGTTGTGTTTGAGAAGACAAAGTCTGATTATAGAATGTGGTTTGCATAGCTGACGACACTCATGACAATCAATATTGAATAACTAATAGTGTTAGTTTCATATAATGACATTAGTGGTTACAAGTGATTATTTGATCGTCTTAGACTTAGAATATTATTTCACATTATTTATCATTTGATACTTGTCAAATTATCTCTTAAAATCTTAATAAAAAGTACTGAGTCTTACAAGTTTAATTAATAAATATGAAGTTAGTGCACTATATGAATTTGTCCCAAGACCAACGCATATATTTTGTGATTTACGCTTTGAGAAACTATATTATATAACATATATTTTTATATTTATATGTATATTCTATATTGTTTAATTTTATTTTTATAAGTAATTAGTTATACTAGTCTTGAATAAAGAGGCACCAAAATGATTAAATTAATTATAATTTTTTAATTTAAAATATGAAAAAAAAATGTACTTTTTAAGTATAATTTCTAGACCGTCTATAGGGTTAAAAATTTTATATTTTATTTTTGAATTGATTTCATAATAAAGTATAATTTGGTCCCGGGCTAGGCCAGGCTTGAAAAATAATTTCAAGTATTATCATGTAATATGGGTTTAATCTAAACATATTCAATCTCAGCCATATCCACCCTTAACGTGGATCCTCCTTCAAACCTAGCACGTTTGTAGAACTATCTAAGGCCTAGGCTCTACATGTCCAACTCTCCATGGTCATGTCCACAGAGGGTTTCGGCCCAATTACCTTTTTCTATCTACCCAAAAATAAATAAATAAATATATAAATAATAGTTGTGAGTTAAAAATAGATACTTACAACACTATAGGCAAAACTGGAGATGACGAGCATCCAGTACTTACCCATGAAAACATCAACAATGAATTTCATGGGTATGAGTATAATGACCATCAAACCCCAAAACACATTTATAATAGCAGCAACATGAGTGAATTTGAGCTTCCACACATTTGGTTAGTATAGCATCGTCATCCACATGGCGAATGCCGCTAATATATCAGCCCATATCAGCACTAGCATAGCATTCATGAACATAACAACACACACCACCAAGTTAGCACTTTAATGTTGATTTTAAATCAAAATATATATTAAGATCATTTTAATTTACATAACTGTCATTATCAAATCATTTTTTAGAGGTTTTTTTGTATGAATAAAATTTTCCATTTGGAAAATGTATTATAATTACCCAAGATTCTCACAAGGGACACCATTTCCGCAGTTAATTTACTTTCTGTGAAACATTAAAAATTAAAAATCAGACAAACACAAAGATATCATTGTCAAATGCAAACTATAAATTAGCTTTAATGCTATAGAATTAAATTGTTAGAAGTCTATATATAGGAGACCTCAAGTACAATCACACAGATTGAAAAAAAGAGAAGAAAAGGAAAATGTTAAATTTAATGTATAGAGAAAGCGAGAGAATAAATTGTGTATATATGTTGTATTATTACAAATGTTAGTTTGCTCCTTTATAGAGGAGAGGAGCCCAAAGTGGCCAAAAGAGAAGGAACAACACTACAGCACTAAGCATAATATAATATACACACACTAACATAACACTACAGCACTAATAACTAATAAAGTAAAGCAGGCATAACATAATATACACTAAAGCATAATATACTAATAGCCCTCCTCAAACTCAAGGAGGATAGGTACCAACCAACATAAGTTTGGAGAGAGTAACAAAACATGAAAATAAATTAAAAAAATAAAATAAAATAGGAGACACTGTATGTCAGACCGTTGTAGAAGACACTGTATGATTGTGGCAGACCAGTGTAGAAGACACTGTATGATCGTGTCGGACTGTTGTAAAAGACACTGTGTAGTCGTGTCGGACCGTTTGTAAAAGACACTGTATGGTCGTGTCGAACCGTTGTAGAAGACACTGTATGGTTATGGCAGACCAGTGCAGAAGACACTGTATAGTCGTGTCAGACCGTTGTAGAAGACAATGCTTGGTTATAGCAGATCGGTGTAGAAGACACCGTATGGTCGTGTCGGACCGTTGTAGAAGACAATGTGTGAGTGTGTCGGACTGTTTGTAGAAGACGCTGTATGGTCATGTTGGACCGTTATAGAAGACACTGTATGGCCGTGTCGGACCATTGTAGACCGGTGTAGCAGGCACTATATGGTGGTGTCAGACTGTTATAGACGACACTGTGTGGTCGTGTTGGACCGTTGTAGAAGACACTGTGTGGTCGTGTCGGACCGTTGTAGAAAACACTGTGTGGTCATGTATATATACATACAAAGATATATATATATATATCTCGCCTTTGAAAGTTGGGTCGGACACGCGACTTTGTAGTGCACTATATGAATTTGTCCCAAGACCAACGCATATATTTTGTGATTTACGCTTTGAGAAACTATATTATATAACATATATTTTTATATTTATATGTATATTCTATATTGTTTAATTTTATTTTTATAAGCATAAATTATGTATTAATTTAAGTAATTAGTTATACTAATCTTGAATAAAGAGGCACCAAAATAATTAAATTAATTATAATTTTTTAATTTTAAAATATGAAAAAAATATACTTTTTAAGTAAAATATCGTAGCCGTCTATAGGGTTAAAATTTTTATATTTTAATTTTAAAATGATTTCATAATAGAGTATAAGTTGGTCCTGGGCTTGAAAAATGATTTCGAGTATTATCATGTAATATGAGTTTAGTCCAAACATTTCCAATCTCAGCCATTTCTATCCTTAATGTGGATCCTCCTTCAAACCTAGCTCATTTGTAGAACTATCTAAGGCCTAGGCTCCTCATGTCCAACTCTCCATGGTCATGTCCAAAGAGGGTTTCGGCCGATTACCTTTTGTTAACTACCCACAAAATAAATGCTCACAGCACTATAGGCAAAACTGGAGATGACGAGCATCCAGTAGTTACCCATGAAAACGTCAACAATGAATTTCATGGGTATGAGTATAATGCCCGTCAAACCAATAGCAGTGGCATGAGTGAATTTGAGCTTCCACACATTTGTCATTTGTCAAGTATAGCATCCTCATCCACATGGCGTACATATCAGCTCATATCAGCACTAACATAGCATTCATGAACATAACAACACACACCACCAAGTTAGCACTTTAATGTTGATTTTAAATCAAAATATATATTAAGATCATTTTAATTTACATAACTGTCATTATCAAATCATTTTTTAGAGGTTTTTTTGTATGAATAAAATTTTCCATTTGGAAAATGTATTATAATTACCCAAGATTCTCACAAAGGACACCATTTTCGTGGTTGATTATCCCTCACTTGCGGTGAAAGATGAAAAATTAAAAATCAAACGAACACAAAGATATCACTGTCAAATGCAAACTATAAATTAGCTTTAATGCTATAGAATTAAATTGTTAGAAGTCTATATATAGGAGACCTCAAGTACAATCACACAGATTGAAAAAAAGAGAAGAAAAGGAAAATGTTAAATTTAATGTATAGAGAAAGAGAGAGAATAAATTGTGTATATATGTTGTATTATTACAAATGTTAGTTTTCTCCTTTATAGAGGAGAGGAGCCCAAAGTGGCCAAAAGAGAAGGAACAACACTACAGCACTAAGCATAATATAATATACACACACTAACATAACACTACAGCACTAATAACTAATAAAGTAAAGCAGGCATAACATAATATACACTAAAGCATAATATACTAATAGCCCTCCTCAAACTCAAGGAGGATAGGTACCAACCAACATAAGTTTGGAGAGAGTAACAAAACATGAAAATAAATTAAAAAAATAAAATAAAATAGGAGACACTGTATGTCAGACCGTTGTAGAAGACACTGTATGATTGTGGCAGACCAGTGCAGAAGACACTGTATAGTCGTGTCAGACCGTTGTAGAAGACAATGCTTGGTTGTAGCAGATCGGTGTAGAAGACACCGTATGGTCGTGTCGGACCGTTGTAGAAGACAATGTGTGAGTGTGTCGGACTGTTTGTAGAAGACGCTGTATGGTCATGTTGGACCGTTATAGAAGACACTGTATGGCCGTGTCGGACCATTGTAGACCGGTGTAGCAGGCACTATATGGTGGTGTCAGACTGTTATAGACGACACTGTGTGGTCGTGTTGGACCGTTGTAGAAGACACTGTGTGGTCGTGTCGGACCGTTGTAGAAAACAATGTGTGATTGTGTCGGACTGTTTGTAGAAGACGCTGTATGGTCATGTTGGACCGTTATAGAAGACACTGTATGGCCGTGTCGGACCATTGTAGACCGGTGTAGCAGACACTATATGGTGGTGTCAGACTGTTATAGACGACACTGTGTGGTCGTGTTGGACCGTTGTAGAAGACACTGTGTGGTCGTGTCGGACCGTTGTAGCA